GTACCAGCAGGTTAGTGCAAGGGATGTATAATGGTGAAAGGCAACGGAAGGAAATTAAAAATACATGGACATACTTGGGCTAGGAGCTGATAAACTTAGTGATCTCAAGCCCGTCTTTGGGATACGGTCACAACATGAGCTTTAGGTTTAGAGGAATCAGAGCAGAGACCACAGACTCAATCCAATTATAATCAAAAGATGTATTGATTGGCTGCTACCAGGATGAGAGTCTTCAAGCCAAATCTCAGATATGTTCTGAAGGAGGGGAGTGGGGAAGGGATTTTAAAAGAGAATCCCCTCCAACACACACAAAAGACTTTCAATATCTACACAAGAAAGCAAAAACTGTTCTGATCTGCCAAGTTGAGTGGTTAAGACAACTCAAAACAATCTTTGGGTATCTACATAAGCAGGTTACAGAAGTCAAAAAAAAAGCAGTCATATCATAACAAGTAGATAGTCATGGCCATACATTTCTGGATGGGGTTTCACTGAGTCAGGGATACTCGGAACTTAACCTCCAGGGACTGGAATCAGAGACAAATGGCTAGTAGATACCAACATAAATGCCTGGCCATCACAAGGGAAAGAGCTATGCAATCTCAGTCAAGGTCTAAGCTAGTTAATCACTGTCTCAGTTCTGGGTCTGTACGATGGTGTCAAGTCCTTGCTGCTTAGGCAAGAGTCACTTCCTGGGAGATAACTCCTCTTGCTCAGAGGTGACTGCATCGTAAGGTAATCTATCTGGGGGAGGATCTGCTGACCCTGGACTCCAAAGGGCCTGCAGGTTTAGGACACCAGCTGAAGACCTTCCTGTGTCTTTGGAGATCTGGGTCAGGAGACTGCAAAATAGCCAACAGTAGGGAGGTCACTCTCTGTACCTTCGGCCTCAAAGCAGGATGAAGTAGGCTAAGTACCAACTATTTTTGGACAGGTGCTTCTTGAGCGACCAGTGAGTATGTACCAAGTTAAGCTGGTGACAGACCCAAAATAAAAGAGACAGACATAACCCGAAAGCATGGAGGCTTTGTTCACACTGTGGTTTACTCTAAGCCCAGTGAGCAGCCAAAGCTTCTCAGGAACATGGTACCTAAATGCCTATCAAAGGTCTCTCTAGGAGCCTTCTAGAAATCTGTGGGACTTTAGAGGTTAATTCATGTTTTGTGTGTACTGATGGCCTAGAGTGGTCAAGGGTCAGCACTTCTGAGCATGCTCAAATGTTCAGATGGGACCCTACATTGAGGAGTTTCCTAAATGGTGCATGGCTTTTTTTTTTTTCTCTCTCTCTCTTCTTTTCTCTTCTCTTCCCTTCTCTTTTTTCTTTTCTACATACTGCAAGGCAGTTCTATAAATTGCTGACCTGGGCTATCACCGCCCAAGAGGCCAATCTTGTTCCTGTAAGATGACCTGCCCCAGATTACAGGCCCCCCATAAAAACCAGTAATTCTTATATTGGGGTGAGGGGGTGGGAGCAAAGAGGGTGGTTTGTCCTGTTGTTACTGGAATCAGGACTCAAGTGGACAGTTGGAAGGCAGTGACTGGTCTATGTATCTACGGCCTCAAGGAGTGTGAGATAGGTCAGGTAGACAGGCACTGCCAGTATGATTACCAAACAAGAGTCTGTGCCAAAGTAAACGCGACAGACTTGAAAGGAAGGCCCCCAGCCCATGCTTTGATCCTGTTCCCAGCTCCCTTGTGGACCCAAGTGAAGAGTTCATGATTTTTAACAAAAGCAGTTTCTACATGCCTGTTATAAACTCATTATTAAAAGGGGGTGTGTCTGGGACAGACTTAAAACTATTGGCCTAGACAATACTTTCCCCAAGTCTATCTTCTGTGTGTGGAGCATACATGGTATTGTAGTGGGCTACTGTATACAGTTATGATATTTCATGAAAATATTCCTAAGAAATACTAAAAAATACGAAAACTACCTTGGGTAAAACTGGTCTCTGGACCAGCCATAAATTCCTAAGGTAAACTGTTTTCTGGATAAGCCCAAAATTCCTAGGCCATGTGACCCTGGGTTAAATGCTAAGTACCTGACCATTTGATGGATCTCTCTCCCGAGCTGCCTTTCAGTATATGTTGAAATTGCATTTTTTTTTTTCCTCTTAGAATCTCAAACCAACTGGAAGGCGAGGCTATTTCCCGCTCATCTGCTTGAGACAGTCCCACTAGTGATTACTCAAATCCTCATGATTTCAAAGCAACCACTCTTACCCAATGAGCCATCTCCCTAGCCCAACCATGTCTACTGTCTCTTTACTTTTATTCACTTGGTGTGTGTGTGTGTGTTTTAAAATGGACCCTAACAAAAGAAAAACACAGGACATATATATGACTACATGTTAAATCGTGTGCATCAAACTGGGCACCTATCACAAACTATTAAAACACTTCGTGGAGGCTGTGTAATGCAGGAAGGTTGTATGGGAAGGCTCTCATAGAACATTCAAGGCCCAGGACTTGGAGAACAGAGGGTGAGACCCTCTTCTAGTGCCTTGCAGAGCGGGAGGGTTTGCTGCAATCTTGTTGCATGCAAAGAGCCTTAGCCCAGATACCTGCACTGAAAACATGGAGACACCCAGGGCAGTTGTGCATGCCCTGAACCCCCAAGGGATTTTATTGTTAGAGCATTATTTATCATCACTGCATGCCACTGCTTCTAAGGAATAAATGTTTAATTTTCAGACACTTAAGATGCTAATATTGTAATAACAATACACATTCCTCACATGACGCTGTTAAGGGTTCTGTGCTCTTAGCAGTAGGAAACCCTCAGAGCTGGAGAGTTTGACTGCTAGTATCAGAAAGCCCAAATAAAATTGGATATTGGGTAAAAAATACAATCGTTCAGAAAAGAAATCCAGAGTTATGGTAGCTTCAGGGTTGATTAATTTCCTGATCTGATGTGACGTGTTTTTTAGGTTTCAGCTCGTTCCATTGTTTCCTCTGGTCCTCACTGTACGTGAGGTTGACTCCCTTCCTGGTCCCCATATTGCTGTCACAGCTTCTCACTCATAGTCCAGAGGTAGTAAGGGAACTCTACTGTGTTTATCTTTTTTAAGCTCAGAGCAAATCTGTCTAGAGACTGTCTCTCAGAAGACTTCACCTCAGTTATCCTGGTTGGTATGTCCCATGCCCATGCTTAAGTCAATAACTTTGCAAAAAACAAAACCGTTGCTTTCATTTTGACCAATCACTATCCATCCTCCTTTGCTACGAGGGGCCACCCTGGATGGAGTGAGTGGCCAAGAGGATGCATAGAGGGGTAAGGAGACCACAATAGTGTGTAACCCACAATTTGTGATCTCTAAATTGATCCCACTCACCAAAACTCTTTACTTTGCCCATATACAAACTTGGCGTAGTATATGACCCAGGACTTTGATGCAAGCATACAAGTGATGCAGCTGACAGGCCACATTTGGAACCTACTTTGTGTTGGGTACCATGCCAGTTGTAAAATCCTAGAACCTTAGAGGTAGGTATGAGGGTTAAGGGTCCACCCAGTGCATGTTCTCTTACTCAGATGGTAGGAGAAAGACGAGCAAACAAGTTTTCCAAGGAGAGATCTATCCTAAGAGTCGTACAGGACCTGTGCTGGCTGGTTGTACGTCAGGTTGACATGAGCTGGAGGCATTTGGAAAGAGGGAACCTCAGTTGAGAAAATGCCCCCACCAAACCAGCCTGTTGGGCCTTCTCTTAATTGATGATTTACATGGGAGGGCCCAGCCACCTGTGGGTGTTATAAGAAGGTGGGCTGAGCAAGCCAGTAAGGAGCAGTCCTCTTGTCTCTGCATCAGCCCGCCTCCATGCCTCTGTCCTGGATCCCTGCTGTGGCTTCTCTCAGTGGACTGTGACCCAGGATAGTAAACCAAATAAACCCTTTCCTCCCCAGGTTGCTTTTGGTCAGTATTTTATCCCAGCAACAGAAACAGGGCCAAGTGACTCTACAGGGAAAGTCAAGTTGGATCTAGATTATCTATTTTATACAGTAAGAGAAGCTTTCTATTTAACTAGCTTAAAGCAGTCTTTATTCCATGATGCCTTTGACTACTGGGGTGTCCTCAGAAGGCAGACTAGATGGGCAGCCAGGTCCACGAGAATACCATTTCAAAAGCAGAATCTTGTTCCCAACACCATCTACAAAAATGCTTTTTCTTTAAAAAAAAAAAAAATCTAGCTATTTCTCTCTTTTTCATTTGACACAGGGTTTCTGTTATTTCTCTTAAAGGTGTTTAAGAAACTGTAACTTTACATCCAAGTTATTTTTCCGGTGGTTTTGTGACATAATTGCCCTAAATAAAAGAACATGTTATAGCTGGCAAGGGGGCGGGCTCATACCTTTAATCCCAGTGCTCATAAGGAAGAGGCAGGTGAATTTTTGAGTTCGAGGCCAGCCTTGTCTACAGACTGAGTTCCTGGACAGCCAGAGCTCAAACAAACAAACAAACAAGCAAACAAACAAGTTTTCTGGGAACCAGGGAAGTACTGTAGCAGGCAAAGGCACTTACCACTGTCCTGGAACCCATGTGGCGGAAGAGAGCCAACTCCCAAGAGCTGTCCTCCAAGCTGTGCTGGCTGGTTTTATGTCAACCTGAAGCAGGTCAGAGAGCCTTGGGAAGAGGGAACTTGCACCAGAGAGCGCCTCCACCAGACCGTCTGCGGGCAAGCCTGGAGTGCATTTTCTGGGACTGATGACTGATGTGGAAGGGTCACTCTCACTGTGGGCACCGCCAGCTTTGGGTCAGCTCCTGCCTCCAGGAACCTATCCTGACTTCTGTGGATGGACTACGAGCTGTATGATGAAATAAACTTTCTCCTCCGTGAGTTGCCCCTGGGCACTTCGTCATAGAAACAGAAACCCTAAGACAGACTTCTGTACTGCAGCATTTTACATATGCACCAATCTGTCTATGCCCATGTACACATAGGAGCATAATACTTTTTTAAACTAAAAACTGTGTCTACTCCTAAAATAATCCACGCAGAAACAAAGTCAATTAAATTTTATTTCAACCAAGAATATAAAATAAATGTGATGTAGCTCATCGCAGCTGGAACAGTCACTTTGAGAAGGGTGGCTGGATAACTCCAGAGCAGAAGCACCCAGTTCTGAAGAGGCCAAGGCCACACACCCTGCATCCCCAGAGCGGGCTTCCGAGGGCAGTAGGCTTGGTATACACACATCACAGCAGAGCAAGGAGAGTCATGGCAATATCTAATCATACAGAGGGAGTGCGTGCAGAAAATGACCAAAAAGATCGACAGGTACACTTCACAAATAGGGGTTATGAGAAGTACAAACTAGTTTAGAAAGGACAGACTGTATAACATATAAAAAGTACTTTCAGTTCTTATTAAAAAGGACATCTCAGTCCTGGCTTTGTATAATGCTGTTAGTGTCTACCCAGACAAAGCTTTTTTTTTTTTTAATTACATAGAATTAATTTATTTACTGGGTGGTAACAGTGCATTAGGTATTTCCCATGTAACTCATCAGCATCACTCCCTATGGAAAACAGCTTGGAAGGAAGGGTAAGTACCCTTGGCTATCACACACTTCTGGAATCCCTCAAACACTGACCTTTGGGGCTATGGTGTTTGTAACAAACCTTGATGATGATTATGGGGACCTAACCTGCTACACTTTGCATAAAATTATTACTTGAGCATGACTCCTTCGAGACTCCATTAAGCCCGATGGCCGTTCACTGTCTGTCTCGGTCACCTAGGGAGCAGTGTGTATAGCTGCTGCTCTATCGTAAACAAAAGCAAGCTCTAAGTCCTGCTCTCCAATTCCTTTTCCTTTTAGCAAAGCAGGGCATCATCTCAGAGGCACAAGAACAACCAGGAATGAGGCAGCCAGCCTGTGTGAACGTGAGGCCAACCAACCCTCCCAGTCATGAAGCTACGTTATCGCGTGCAGAACGTCTGAGCTCTAAGTCCTAAGGTTTCAAAAGCACAGACATAAAAACGGACTTGTCCCTTAATCTCTGCACCTCACTTCGGGGTTCACTTCATCAAAAGGGTTGCTTCAGTCTCCAATTACCAACTCATGCTATCGTACTGCTAGCTACTCTGTCCCCAAATGCCTGGATCCTTTCCCCAAACACCTTGTCACAAAGCTACCTCTAAAAGTGACTTTTAATATAAAGAACAGAAACCTTTTAACTCAATCCTTCAATCCTCTCTAGACTCCAAAGCTCCCCTAAGTCAGAGGACGCCTCCCTGTGTCCCTAGAGAAGAAAATAGTATCTAATGAACGTTCAAAGAGAAATGCCATCACTTGAGGCACACAAAGGTAAATTCCACCCTTAAGAAGCTTCATAGGTCCCATCAGAGGTCTTACCCCACGAACTATGGCCTAAATGTATATGAAAGGCTTTGCTTCCTTCACAGAGAAAGGAAATAATGAACAGAAATTATTTCTAAGAGTACTGGGTGCAGGTATGCATCACCAACCCTGAGACAAGAAGAGAAAATCAAAGGGCCAGAATCAGTGCAGTGATGTAGAACCCAGTTGTATAGATAGTTTTCTGGCTATGTCCTGGAAAACACTATACTGGAAGCAAATGACAAAGTGCCCTGTTTGAGTCAGTTTTACCAGAATAGTCCTGTGAATGTGTAAGTGCCCACTGCCAGAACTGTGTATCCAGTTTGTGTACAAAGAACTGATTTAATATATATATATGTATGTATATACACAGACTAGGGCTAATGCCTTTTATTAAATTGAGCTCATGGCCAGACCAGAGCTTCTGTTTTCACTGTAATTCTCTACAACCATTTAGTAGAGTATGCTCTGTCCACAAGGGCCACCCAACTGCTGCTGAAGGCTGCTGTGAACGTTTCAAATATGCATAGATGCCTTTTGTGACAGCTAATCACTGGCTTGCTCCTTAAGTGGTCAGACACAGATCTGCTTCCCTATAACACTGTTTACCACAAAATACAGAAGCATAGTTTGGCACAGACATCCCACATGAGTTTATTGTCACTGGACTGGCTGTAGAAGGAAATGTCTCCTGTTCTTTTCTACCCAGCAGAGCTGGGCCTGTGATACGGAGCAGTGGCCCTGGACGAAGGCTCCGGGGCACAGGGCAGAAGTTTATAGAGATAGCTGCATTATGCAGGAGGCTGATTCTTATTTTAAAAAAATATAAGGGATAAAACAAATCTAAGGAGACAGAGATTCCTCCCAATGAAGCACGTCACGTGTCAATGACTTCATTTTCGGTCCTGGTGTGCATGTCACTATACAGCCTTTATTACTATTTATAACCCTCACTATGCTGAAATCAGACGGTCCTGGCTGGCTACAGTATCACATCAATAGTGCAAAATGTATACTGGCTTCTAAAAATCTTATTTACTTGTATATGGACCCCAGAGTATCATAACCAGGTAGATAGGTTCACAAGAATAGTTTTTAAAAATGCATATAGTTTGCATATACAACAATTGGCTATTTTTTCTAGCTCAGGAAACATTGAGAACAAGGCTGGTGCTGCTAGGAGCATCAGAGCAGAGATGTGCATCAGAGCACAGATGTTCTGGCCCCTGAACTACAATGGGAGCCCTAAGCCTTTACATTTCCTCCTGATTCTGGAGGTGGGGGTTCCTTAAAAGGAGCTAAGAAGGAACTCCCCTCTAAGTCGTAGATCATGGAAATGCAGATACTCACCTCACCTACGTCACACTGTCTGCCCGTAGTTCTTAGGCACAATTATTAAGTTTTTTCCTAGGGGCAAAAGAAAGCATTCAGTGCAATAAAAAAGATTCTCGACAGCGTTAAGTCTCAATAATAGCAAAATTATGCATACATAATACATACTTCGAACATGAATGAAACCTAAAATTTTACCATGCTTTAAAAATAGTCATTTTATGCTTAATGTACATACAAATGGAAAACACTGCAGATGAATTAACAGGCTTCTATTTGAGTATCCTTGATTATGAAAGAAAGTTACTCATGCTGACCAGATGTGAAGAGACCGAAGAGCCAGCAGCTTCTAGAGAGAAGCCTCTGACGATATACATGGAAAAAGCTTTTCCTTCAAGTGGAAGAAACACGCTTTGATCAGCATGACTCCTTGTGAGCTCCTAGTGCAGGAAACAGTCTCTTCAGACTTCCCAGGTGAGTCCCAAAGGACCAGATTCCATCAAAGCTCCTGAAACCTCTTTTAAAGAAGGCTTAGCTACATGAAGTTAAAATTATAATTTTAATTACTGAATATTATTCAGAATAGGATTCTGGGAACTGAGTTCCCCATAAATGATTATATAAAAACCACCAAGTATTTCAGTCCTTCACAGCATAAGCGGGCAGCTGCAAAGACCTACGCTGTTTTTGGTTGTGGGCGCCATCTATCCCACACTTGTCTTTCACTAGACCTTCCCTGAAAGAGATAAATACAAACACCATAGTAAAGTACTTTGGGACAGTAACAGTTTCTTTTTAAGACTTCCAAGAGCAAAGCAGTTAGTCTGTGAAGACTGTGTAGTGCTTTAAAGGTGCATCTGACTGGTGTTGCTAAGTCAGTCCATGAAGTATAAAACTATACACCATTGGAACCCTGTTCCTAGAACATTGAAATCCTAAGAAACGATAAATAGAATGATTGCTACAGCGTGAGAAAGGTGCACCAGAGACTCCTCCAGAGACTGCTGAAGGATGCAGAAGTGCTGGGGTAGGCCAGATGCTTCATCAGGAAAGTCTCAGAGGAATTCATGCGGGGAAGAGGGCTGGGACACTTCACAAGAATCTTCTTTAAGTCAAGAAGAGGTATTAGTCCTTCAAAACACTTAGCATGCAAAGGTTTCCTTTCAAGTGGCTGTGCGCTTTGCATGGGTCAGTCTTCATCCTGGGGTTCTTTGTAATGCAGACACCACCCTGCTGGAGTCTGTGCTCCGTGCTCTCAGCGGCCAGGCCCAGGGCAGTGGGTCAGTACCGATGGGCCTGGTGAGATGGGTGGTACTGGGCGCTCTGCTGAGATGACGAGTAACCTAGCGTACTCTGGGACTGAGAGGACCCCTGAACGTTGCTTTGGTAATTCAGGCGAGAACTGGAGTGCTACGGGAAAAAAAAACAAACAGAAAAGGGGGACAGGGAGTTAGTAACTGTCGAGAGGGTCACAGTACCAGTCACAGCGGAGCAGAGCTATTGGCTCCCTTCCCTTTGAGTCTCACAGCAGCTCTACTTTCTGCTTATCTGAAGCCCAGGCCTGCTCAGGCTGTAACTACCCTGGCTGGCACGGACTCTGGCTAGTAGTGGGGAGGGGAGCTACGCTGGTGAAGAAAGGCAGGAAGGAACTTTCTGAGATGTAATTTAACCTTTGACATGACTGATATCTGACAACAAAACAATTTGGCACATGAAAAAAATGCAATCAGTAAGATATAACCACCTCCTTCGAGTTCTCACGTTAATAGTAAGCTGCGACTAGAAAACCAGTCCTTTAGGTGGAAGTTTCAGAGGCAGAAGCCAGGGACACTGGGGGCCTACCAATAAGCAAGCAAGGACGCTGACAGCACACTAGCAGTAAGGAGCACCACAAACTTCAGGTAGTATTTAAAACAAAACATTCTCACTAATGAATCTTATTTCCCATCTAGAAATTAAACAAAGCAATTTTCCTACTCTATTGGCCCCAAGAGATCAGGCGTGAACAAACAGCGTTTAGCTAAGACTCTGTGCTAAAACAACTTTAAAACGACATTTTCAACAGGAAGAAAAATCTGCATCCCTCTCTCTCTCTCTCTCTCTCTCTCTCTCTCTCTCTCTCTCTCTCTC